TGAAACAACGGATGAATAGCAGCTTCGGTGAAAAACGGATGAATAGCAGCCTCCGTGAAACAACGGACAAATAGTGGCTTCGCAAACAAGAGCCGTCGGAGTCATGATCACAATGGTGTTCTAACGGATCATATACACAACAGTTGCAAAGTGAATTGGTGTAGGCAATAAACCGTGGCTCAACGAGTGTTGGCAAGCTTTTACGAGGCATTTGGGCTCTGTTCGAATGCTGACAGCCGGCCGAAGGGGGTTCGGCGATGTCGCTTCAATGCTAGATGAGCCCGTTGACAAGTTGTTGTTAGAGATGGTTATTGTGTGTCAAAATCACGATCGCGATGACAGGAAAGACATGCAAGCTTCAATGTGGGGCGCGGTTGGAGCACTTGATTGATTTTGCAGAGTAGGTACCCAGTGATGGAATTTGTTTAAGTGAATTAAGGCCAATCAAGATTTCAAGTTATTTTTACCCAGGATCCCAAAGGCCCACAGTTGAAGCCAGGAACATTGGAGGCGATATATAGCCAGTGTAGATATATTAAAAGCTGCTCCTGTTTGGGCAGCGGTTATGCACAAGTTTTCACGTTTGCGTATGCGACTAATGCATTCCGCTTAAAGCAAACAGCAGAGCAAAGAGCCCCTCGCGAAATGAAGAACACCAGATGCATGGGGAAGCGTGAAGGCTCCCGGCTGGCGTAGCGGCGCGGGTCTCCTGCACCACCGGGGCTGCCTGAATGTGTGCAGGGCAGTGTCATATAATTGCCGACTTTGGGTGTAAAGCAACACCCTATGAGGAGGAATTTTCACTCCTTTTCTCCATATTTTGTATGAATTTCTCCCTCCTGCCTGACATTTTCTAATCGCACTTGCCAAACCCCTATTTTTCTTTGTGAGGTTTTCAGATGTCATCCAAAACCGAGCTCACTTGAAATCACCAAGCATAAACGAGGCTCCACAGAACTTGAACATCTATGGATATGTCCTGCTTCACCTACATCTGAATCATGTTTATGTATGCACAGAGCAAAGGCGCCAGGTGCCTCCAAGCCCAAGAACCCAAACGACTTCAGCTGCTTGCACGCATTAAGTTTGGTTTGTTTACAAAATGCATCACAATCGGCAGCTGTGTGCCAAATGCAACGTTTTCACGCATCCGGTATTTTTTATTTATTTTTTGGTCTCCACCACGCCACGAAGGCAGAGCCTGGTGCAAACAACGGCGAGGCTTGGCAAACAATTTGACTCCGCGTATTTCTTTCTTCCCGAGGAAGCTTGACCTCTGAATTGCATCATTCCCGAAATGTAGGAGTGAAAAATTCAAGAAATGTCTTGTAAATAAAATTTACAAGATGAATATCGCCATTTGAGTACTTATGTTAACAGATTTTAAGTCAAATGAGCTAATTACAAAGTTTGGCCAGGAAAGTGTCAGCCTTTAGATTTTGTTAACCATTTTTTGTTCTTCTTGGTATCGTACGAGTGTGATACCACTTCATTCTTCCTTCCTTTTTTATTGCCTTAAGAGGTAGCGTCTGTTGCTTAAAATGCTGACCAATTTCTCTACAGCATGCTCCAACTGCAAACTTGTGCGTATTTGATACATCACTTGGATTAACTTGCCAGCCGCTCAAACATGCTTGATATGCATCCAAGAATGAACAATTCACAGGGAATAAAGAAGACAGTTTGAACCACGGAAATTATTTTTACCGACATTTTTGCCCCGTTAAACGCTCGGTTAACCGTTTTCTTGGTTCATGGCGGTGCTCAATAATGATAAATCTAAGCCCTTCGAGTGTCTAACTCACCAGGCTACCTGACAAGGCTATCTTAATGCTGTCGTATAGAGCTTTGGGACTGACCTGACGCGGTTAATACAGAAGTGTTGGATGGCGTAATTCTGCCCTCTGGAGATGTTTATCATGCACACCTCTTACTTGTTTCGCATTTCAAGCTCATAGGTTGGTGGGCATGGTTGATATTTATATTGGGCGGGGGGGGGGGGGGGGGAGTGGGATGGCTCTGTCTGCCAGCAGACCATGCAAAAGGTACTGACTTTTTGTTTTGGGGAGCAGGAAAAAGCCAGTAAGTCTCCTGTGGAACAAGTAATTGCTTACTTTACCTGCTTTCAACACATGATTGGTAACCAGAGTTAGCCATTTTCTGTGTTAATCAATCGAGTTTTGTCATAAGACAAATTGTGATGCCACAAGGCATGCAATGGGATTATTTTGTACCATATTCTTGATTATTTGTCCCAAATTTCTTGAAGTGGTCCCTCATGGCTGCTTTAACCAGATTTGTTCCATAGTTGTCATGATTTGCTGACTGGTAAATGACTGTACTGCATATATGTACTATATTTTTAACACTGGGACACTAAGCTGCATAACAATCATAATATGAGGCAAATATCAGCACTAAGCAAATAATCGGATCATCCCATTTAAAATGTGAAGCCAGCATCTCAAACTATGTCATTAAACATGGATGGACAAGCCTTAATAGATGCCTTTGCTGCAGCTGAAAAGTCAAGCAGCAAAACTGGCACGGTCATCTAAAAGTTATGCTACTTTTGGAGAAGAGCGATTGTTTTGTGGAGCATACCCATTGTTGCCTTTGACAGAGGTTAACCACGGCAGTCAGAATAAGTTGTTCAAAGTGATTTAAAGTGTTTTCATTTCTGTGTTGTCAACTTTGTCTGACGTCAACGAGCATACACAAATGCACTGAATAAAAATGGAAGTTGAAATCAGCAAAAAAAAAGAGCTTTATCATGTTTTTATCGCAAGTGCTGCCGTCAACAGATAGATGAGTTGAGATGATGTTCAACATATGGGCTGCTCTAAGTTAGGTTAAGTTGCTTAAGTGCAAGGCAAGTGGCAATAGGAATTGTGCAAGAATCAGTAACTCACAACTGCTACTGTGATACAAACAGTTTAGACAAGATGATATGAAGTAAGGCATCTTTAGGCTAGGCATAGTTAGGCTACTTTCATCGAATTTAGCATTGGTATTTTGTAAGGAACAATGACAAAATGTTTGTTTTCCATGACCCATCTTAAAAGAGGGCAGAGGTATGCCTATTGTGTTTGACTTGGCGAGGGGCTGATGTGTAGGAGTCCAAGTTTTTTTTGTTTGAGTGTTTTATGCTTGTTGAATATTCTGTTGTTATTTTGTCATTGAATTTGTTTGCTTTGTTTTGTGTTAAAAGTGCTGTGGAAGGGAAGCACAAAGTGCAGCATCAAATTAGTGGTGTTAATAGTTTTTGCGCTCATTACACTGGCACGAAACTACTACGCTGTAATGTATTCTGTTTCACTTAAATGGACTAAGATGTTAAAAAACAAAACAGTTTTGTCAGGTTTCTGATATTACGTCCATGCCAACTTGAAAAAGATGTCTTTGCTTGCTGAATCATCAATCACGAGCTCATAAGTTCCATCTTTTGGGAATTGATTTTTGTCACTCCTTCACGGTCTTTTTGCGATAGAATTTTTCACTCTCACCCTAGTTTAAAAGCGATTCTAGCTCCCTGGTGCAGAGACACTGCACGTCCACGAATCTAGTGCACCGCGTGCTCCATTTGCAACGCGCGCCGAGTCTTCCTAACGCCAAACTCGGCGTTTCGGGCGGTGCCGGCTCTCTACATTTTCCACGCGTCCGACTGACCGTCACCCAGCGGCACTTTCCGTACCACGCCGCCGTCGCGCGGAACCGGCTGCCTGCGACGGCCGTCTGTGCCCCGCCGCGCCAGGCATTCTTGACTGTTTTAAATCCCTGACACATTGACTGAAAATGTGTATCTGCACGTATGTGTGTATCTATGTGCTGTGCTTGGGTTTTTTTTCTTGTACGACTAGGCGTAGAACAACCACCACGTGCATTCGCCTTAAATGAAATAACTTACTGTAACTAACGCAGCTGTGTACGTCCTTAGCTCAAAGACTTTTGTCGGCGCACTTAGTCTCTTGAGGAAACGTGAGACCCGAGGCCAAGGTATGAGGGGATATTGTGTTTTTATCAGCAGGACCACTAGCGCCAACAGAGCAGGAACGACGCCGCTAACATCACGCATATTTGTCGTAAAAAAACACCGCAAAGCATTCAAACTTTCAATTACCCACAGCTACCCAAGTGATTGCATACAAAGATCCGTGGACCTCGCTAGGTATGCTCACCAAAACTGCAGTCGGTGTCAAATAAATCACATTCTAGTGATACAAGGCCATGTATGGTGAGCTTCAGAGGTTTCACCAGGTCAACATATATTTTGTTAGTTTTTTTCTTTAACGTGAACGTCCTTAACGTACGCTTGGGCACACTCACTGGACCCGGCCGTAATGTGATGCGGTCTTGATCCGTGATTTGACAGCAAGGCGGCATGTTGCAAACGAGGAAAAGATGACGTTTTGTTTGGTGATGGCTGGAAATCTTTACCGTTATGACTCTCTGTGCAACACGACAGATGTCCCAGACAATTACGAAATTCATGGAGCGTTTCATGTGCTCTGTTGTGTCATGATGCAAATGCCAGTTTAATGTTACTTAAATGAAGATTGATGATAATCAGAGGTGTCAACCGCCGTGTAAATGTATTTGATGCAACGGTTAAACTAGATGCTGGGATGACATAGAATGGAATAATAGGCGATCCGTAGGCGATCGTGGTTAGTGAGAATGCCTTGACAATGCCAGTCTAGAATAAACGCTGAGGCCCAGAAAACTTACATCCAATTAAATTTCACCTCACATCGGGCTAGGATTAATGGTGTTCTCCAACATTCTACGACAGAACCTCTGCTGAATATGCAGCAGGCGTTTAGCAATATCTCCCGGGGCCATCTTTCAGGATCGAACCTCGTGACGCTGCGTGCGCCGCAGCCTGCCAGGCTGTGCGATATGCGTGCAATTCTGTTCCGGGTCAGTTGTTCACTGCACCACGCGGCACCCGATGCCAGCCGGCGGACCGCACGTGACGCTCGCCCCGCCGTCCTTCGCAGGCGCAGCGAGCTGCTGGGCTGCATGTCGTTCGGCGTGTCCAACATCATGACGACTGAGATCACTGGCTGGTTCCGACTACTGGCCGAGTCGATCGGACGGAGTCGGCACTTCGCCGTCCGCACTCCCGCCGGCGGCAGGGCGCGGCACACCGCAGGTACGTCACCCTCGCCCGCTCTGGCCGCAGCACACCGCAGGTACGTCACCCACGCCCGCTCTGGCCGCGGCACACCGCAGGTACGTCACCCTCACCCGCTCTGGCCGCGGCACACTGCAGGTACGTCACCCTCGCCCGTTCTGGCCGTGGCAAGTCACAGAAACCATACCTACCCAGGCTAGGTTCCAACACATTGGAAGTGCAAACTTTACAATGGGCAAGTTACGATATTGTGCGCATATAACGCCGTCCCCAAACAGATTATCACATTTGCAGGTTGACAACCGTATGTTCTGATGAACTGTGACCTGGTCCGTTCTGATTTGATATGACCACGGCACTTTGGTGTTAGTACACGTCCGGGTGGCCGGTTGGATACTTTTTATTCGGGTAGGGGTCAATTTGACCCCCTGAGATCTCAGAAACTAAAAAAGCCAGACACACCAAAATTCACAGAGTTTATTGGCCTATGCGTGAAATTACTTAAGTCAAAGTTTAAAGTTCGTAGCTCACGACCTTTTGGTCAAATAAGATCAAACAAGGTCAAAATCCAGGCTGGTCTTCAAAGCTTCCCTAGAACCCAGATATATGTTCTAAGCAAAAATTGTCATGCTCATTTAAGGTTGGTGACCTTTTTGGCATTTTGAAGGTCGTAGTGGCCACAATCGTACAAGACTGCTTTCAATTTTGCAGTTGAATAAGCGGTAAAGATTACGTTAGGCAGTGCTTTCCTGACAACAGGATGTTGAACTAGGCCGTTTTAGGTCAGTGACCTTTTCTGACCGTTAAGAAGTCCATGGAAGATTAAAATGTGGTTCCTTTTACCATTTAATTGGAAATGAGCACCAGAAACTAGACACACACCAACCTATAGAGTAATAAAATAGGTTTTTGACCTTGATCTGAGCTTTGTACCTGATCCTAGGTCAAAATAATTTGTTAATTTAATTGTTGTGTTGCCTAAGAAAGGATCCTAGGGATGTAGGGATTCGTCTAACACTCCGTTGTTACATCATATTGAAGGATTCCCTAGAAATTGACTTCGCTGAGTCCATGGCCTGACTTAAACTTGCCATAGGTCAGCGACCTAAGAAGGAATGTCTCACTTTTTTGTACTAAACAATCTGCTATTCAGTTGTCTTCAGGTGTGCAAAATTTAGCGTGGATACGCCGTGCCGTTTGGAAACCATTCGGGAAAAACCGTCCCGGCTCAAATTGCCCTCCACCCGAGGGCTTGTTAGCGCCAAAAACAACATTCATCACTTTATTTCTCAAAGAAGAAAGAGGAAAATGGAAAGATAAATGTGATATTTCGGCTACATGCGTTTATCGAAAAGAATAACAAATTCAAATTTCTCTGCCGATTTTACTGGACGTTTCAGTTTTTTCTTAAAAAAAAAATAGCTAGCCACAGTTTTTACAGACCACCAACATGCAGGACATTAAACAAGGAGCAATTGCCAGTCATTTCTGCGATTCAGTGGACATATAACTGAGAATTAAAATGCGCGAGAAATACCTGTATATGCAAATGAATTCAAGTTAACAGTCGTCACGCGTAACACATCATTTACTTCTGCAAGCGATTTCAAGTTAACACGCACGTCGCATCACGCATCACTTTTACACGCAAACGATTTCAATTAAACAGACATCGTGTATCAAACGTCAGACAACACTGATACATGAAGGCGATTTTAAGCCAGCATGCATAACACATCAATACACTAGCCACATTCAAATAATCGTTCATGACGAGTCCTGTACACTGACGTCTGGTCGCCAACTTCTTATAAAAATAGATCCACCATTTTTCCTGTCTGGATGGTGCCGTACTTTGAAGATACCTTTGAGCTCTAAAGGGAAATGGTTCGTACTTCCTCGGATTTTGACTTTAGCGTGTTCTGTCAAAAAAATGGTCGCCGAAGAGTTCATTTTATTCTCTGTTTCATTTTGAGCATCTCGCAGGTGTTCATCACAAATGAAACGAGTAACACGCATGGACTTCTCAACAAAACCCATGTACTTCCCACGTTTTTCGCGCAGTTTACGCTTGAATTCTTAAACCATATTTCTTCACGTGCAAACCCCTGAAAACCCAGGCATGCATATATGACACCCATCGCACCCCGGGCACTTATGCTTCGAGACAATATATTTAACTAGATAGTTATTTAGCTCCTAATCGAGTGTGCCCGAGGAGGTAACAGATGGGGGGGGGGGGGGGCGACATGAGCGCGTGGCCAGTTTCCGAGCAGGTTAGTACATCGGGCCCCCGTCAAGAGCCCAGGGACCCCCATTCAAAAAGAAAGTCCTCAAGACCCAATAAAGAGGGGCCCCGAAAGATAAAGTGTGTCCGAGCGTCTCAACAGATAGGGCTTCTAACAAGAGCGTAGGGCCCTCCATTCAAATAGGAACCACTCAATACCCGATGCAGATGGCCCCCGAACGATAAAATGCACCTCAACAGCTTATCAGAAGAGGCCCGAAAAGAGCGTTAGGCCCTCCATTCAAAAAAGAAGTATCCAAAGCCTATGCAGAGGGCTCCCGAAATATGGAGTGTACCATAGCAGATTACCAGACGGCCCCGGACAGGAGTGCAGCGCCCTAAATTCAAAGGTGGTGAACAGATGGGGCCGCCGACAAGAGTGTAGGGCCATCCATTCAAATGTGAAATACCCATGGCACAATGTAGAGGGCTCCGAATGATCGAGGGTGCCCGAGAATGTTAACAGATGGGGCCCCGAGAAGACCTTCACTCAAAAAGCAAGTACCCAAGACCCGACGTAGAGGTCACCCAACAATTGGATGCACCGGAGCAGCTTATCAGAAGGGGCCGCAACAAGAGCATAGAGCGTAGGTCCCTCCATTGAAGTAACAAGTGCCCAAAACCCAGTGCAGAGGGCCCCCGAAAGATGGAGTGTACCCGAGCAGGTTATCAGATGGCCCCGATATGAGCGCAGGCCCCTAAATTCAAACGCTAAGACTCAATGTGCAGGGCTCCCGGACAATCCACTTTGGCCAAAGAAGTTAACAGAGAGACAAGTGCGTAGGGCCTCCATTCAAATAGGGCTTCCCCAAGGCCCAATGTAGAGGGCCCCCGAAAGATCGAGTGTATCCGAGCGGGCTATCAGATGGCATTGACAAGAGCGTAGGTCCCTACATTAAAATACCCAATGTGCCGGGCCCCCAAACAATTCAGTGTGCCGGAGCAGGTTAACAGATGGGGCCCCGACAGGTGTGCAAGGCCCTCCATTCAAATGGAAAGCACCCTGGACCCAGTTTAGAGGGCCCCGACCGACAGAGTGTGCATAAGCAGGTTAACAGATGAGCCCCCGACAAAAGCATACGGCCCTAAGCAGGTGACCTAAAATTGGAAGCGTCCTAGACCAATGCAGAGGGCCCACGAGCAAATCGCAAGCGTGTCGGTAGGTGAACCGAAACCAACGTAAAGGGCCCCCGAGCCACCGAGAATACCCGAGCAAGTTAACATGGGGGTCCCCTGCTATAGCCCACAGAGCCTTTCTGGCGACTGGAAAGAATCCGTGGAAGGCCTCTGATTGACAAGAGCGCCCCGGCACGCTAGCATGAAGAGCACAGAAGCCGTGCAGGTCCCTCCGAGCAAACGCAAAGCAGTCAGGGCTAACGTGGAAGGCTCCTTAACGATCGAAATGACCTTGCAAGTGGGCATATAGGTCCCCGGAAACAGGATAGGACTCTGGACAGCGTGATAAGGCTTATAATTTCCAATAAACAACTTTTTCCATAATTGAAGATTTTTATCTTTTCTCGAAGGTCATTCACTCTCGTTTGCAGCTCTTCTCGGTGGCCTGGAAATCCAACGAATTTTTTGTGTTTTGTGTTAAAAAACTGTACCTGTTTGGTCACCTACGGGCCCCTTCGGAGCCTATGGGTCACTTCGGGGTACCACGATGGGTCATGGGCCCCGTGACCACTCTCTCTGGATCCGCCCCTGACTCAATCTGTGGTGAAGGTTGGTGCGGGGGAGGGGAGGTCACAGCGGCCACGTGCCAACAATTAGAGGACCAGGCGGAGATAACAATGCCGCTGAGATGTATTGGTGCAGGTATGTGGCATGCACTATCATATAAATACCGGTAGAATGGTGTTCTCTATTTCAGTTACACATTGAGACACATACAGGTAAAACGAAGAACACCAAGCCACCCGAAACAAGGTGGTTGAAGTCCGGTTATTTTTGTTTCGAGGTAGGCTCTTCTACGCGACGTGGTTCACATCACATCCGGACAACTCGTAGATACCGGCTAGGCTTCGGGCCCAGCTAAATACAAGGAGCGTATGTCCAGAGCCGACGATATTGACGGAAAGGCCGAATGCCCGCGCGGGTTCTTATCATGACCGGCACCTGACCGTACAATGAAATAAATCATGGCTGAGCTTTGCGCGGCATGAACATCTCATAACTTTACTTAAATGCCTATGAACTGCTCCAGAAAATCCGGCGCAAGCGTGCAAAGTGGGCCCAAGCAAAAGCCTGCTGCCGCCACGGGAACCGAACCCGCCACCCTCTCGTTACGAACCTGGCAACATACCGCGGCGCTACGCATCCTCGTGCATCCGAGTGTCGAGATAATTATCCAAAGCAAAACTATGGCAGCGATGCTCACTGCGGATTGGAGGTGCCAGTTCGTCGGCGACTCAAATTTGCGGGATGTGATTTGTGGGTTACATCGGGCCCAGTACTAGTTCTGGCTGTTGATTGGCGGAGAACGCGTGCGATTGGTGGCTTGTGTTTGGCGGAGAGGCGGCCTGGAATTTGCCATCGAAGCGTCTGCAGCCGGCGCCACAGTCCGCTTCCGATCCATCGCAGATGCCTGCACGAATTTAACCGTTAATATGTTGCCTAAAGGTAGCAAAGCTTAGCTCTCAACCACCATTTATTTTAGAACATTTGTATTGATGTTTCGTCGTTTTAAAACTGCGATATTGGGAAAACATAGAAAACTAACGCCGCGGCGATGCGAAGGTTGCAAGGAACATTATCTGTTTGTGTCCAGGTATATCGATGGACATAAATGGTAAATAACGCGAACATTGTTGAGCACGATGTATTTTCGGAATATCCCGAAGAATAAGACAAAAAGGTTTTTAAAACAAGTCCAGACAAGTTTATAGCAAGAAGCGCGAAAGCAAAAACGCATATCTGCTGCATGTACTGTAGGCACTCCAACACGTTTTCTAAGCAGCTTGACGTAAAAGCCTCATATGTAGCGTTTTGCTGCATTCGGCTGCCGCTGTGAATTTCTACATTAAGCCAAAATAACCAGAGGTCCAACGCTCAAATCTGTTTATGACTGCATTTTGCAGCACATACACGACGTCTGTCAATGTGCTTGTGTTGCGACTTGTGTTAAAAACAAACAAACGGGTTGAAAGACGCAGTAATTGCGCTTATTTGACGGCTGAATATCAATAAGTCACGGAAAAAGCATACGTTTACGCTGTTTTTCCTTTCGCCGGTAGCTGGATGCGCTGGGGTTAAAAGCGCAGAAGCTACCAACTATCCTTTTTTCGTAGTAAAGGTAATCAATATGTTGCAATCCTTACGCTCGAGTGGACGTTTGTGATATATACACTTAAATCATACCGGTCCAGGTTAGAACAGAACGACGCTCATTTCATCCCTGGAAATTGTTTGCAATTTGCGCGCGGATGTGTACCGTATGTAACCTAATTCTGCTCATGGCCGCGTCATTTTTATCAACGTATGCAACCAACTCGAAGTTGTACAAATGTGGATTACGGCTGTCTCGCTTGAGACGGCAGCCGTGCTGCCTACGGTCGGACATTTTCCGTTTTAACTTCGAGCCGTGCAACAAAGCAACTCAAGGTGTGCTCAGTAAGATGCACTGATAGCTTTGTTCTTACAGCAGCTCAACGCACAATGGGGTGGTGGAGGAACAAGACGATGTTTTGGACATCACTCCGGGGCTTAGCTCTGGGTACTTTCGGCGACAATCTCCTCGTTTTGATCTCACAGCGGTCCGCACTGTGCGCAGCTCACGTAGCGCAAAAACGCAGAACGGAGAAGCAAGACATCAAAGCCGAGTGCAGCACTTCGTTTGCTGTGGTCATGTTCGATCTGATCAGACGGCCCAGCTGTGTGACTCCCAGATGTCGCCGTCGTATGTGCAGGGCTACTCTCAGAGATAGCGTCTTTGACATGAATTGATATCACTGGCATACAGTTAGCAGCTGTTGTAAGCCTCACACGAACGCCCGCGTCTTCCAGATTGCAGCGACCCCTGGCAGGAGCGGACATGGGAGGAGCCTCGCGCGGGCGGCTCGGTCGTGACCTACCGTCGACCGGCACCGAAGTCGCCCCCGGCTCCGGAGCTGGGGGGTGACGCCGCTCCGGGCAGCGGCTCCGTCACATGCCCCACACTGGGCAGGCAGCGGGTCTCAGGACCCGTGCCGGGTCAAAGGCCAATCCCGAGCCCCGTCCTCAGCCGGAGGCCGGTCCCGAGCCCCGTCCTCAGCCGGAGGCCGGTCCCGAGCCCCGTCCTCGGGCGGAGGCCGGTCCCGAGCCCCGTCCTCAGCCAGAGGCCGGCCCAAGTTACGTCCCAGGTCGCGCCGGGGTCGGCTCCGGGCGCAACGGACAGCGGCCGGCCTGCAGCCCCGCCCCTGCAGCAGCGCCGGAGGGCCCTGGTCGGTCAGGAGGCCGGCCGGCGGACGGCGGCGTTCCTGGTCCACCCGAACGCCGCCAGCGGCAGGATAGCGAGCTCCGGTCAAGAGGCGGGCCGCGCGCTCAGCGTCCCCTGGGAGGCGCAGCGCGTGCCGGCAGGGCCGTACCACCACATCAGCATTCAGCGACGTCAGAAGGGGTTCGGCCTGTCACTCGCATGGACATGTCCGCCCAGGTCAGTACAACCCATTTAGACAGCCATTTGATCTATTTGTAAGCGTCATACTTGGCCACCAAGTAGTCCGCCGCGAAAAATGACTGCGAACGCGTGCTGTTGGTGATTATTTTTCCCATTGCGGCAAGCTAATAACTCTTTACAGTTCGTGGAACCGTTATCATCCAGAGTATGGAGGAGGCCGGGCTATGTCGTTGTGACCTTTGCTAGTGGGGGATGCGGAACGGCTTCCCGATGTATCATATGTGTACGCCATTGTGACTTTACGGGACAGACGCAGAAATGCCGCCGGCTGACCATATGCTCACGCTGCGTCAGCCGCTCCGGCGAGCATTCCGATGAAATCTCCACCGACTGAGCCTCTCGTCGTCCAGGACGTTGCCGTGTTTTACCACGCGCACCGGCCGGCCAGAGATAATCATACGGGCCCCCACTGATCCCCGCGCACCAGCCTGCGAACAGAGGCGCCCATTGGAAATGACAGGCACTCATTGTGGGATGGAAACCGAACGAGAAGCCGTTGAGGTGGACTCGGTTCAGTCTATTTCAATCAGACGGTACATTATCCGGTCGCTTTGTTTACGACCCCTTTGCTATTCGGAGACGTTGGCGCGTCGGTGGCTGGATGATTGAGCCGTAAAGGAAGACCGTAAAGTTTTACAGACCATCTCGACTCTGGTCTAGCCACCGGCGGAGAGCCGCCAACGGGGAGGTGACCCCCACGCTCACACCGGTCATCCGGCACCGTGGCACGGAGGGTGGCAGTTCTCTTCTGACCGGCCACCCGGCACCGTGGCACGGAGGGTGGCAGTTCTCTTCTGACCGGCCACCCGGCACCGGGGTACGGAGGGTGGCAGTTCTCTTCTGACCGGTCACCCGGCACCGTGGCACGGAGGGTGGCAGTTCTCTTCTGACCGGCCACCCGGCACCGGGGTACGGAGGGTGGCGGTTCTCTTCTGACCGGCCACCCGGCACCGGGGTACGGAGGGTGGCAGTTCTCTTCTGACAGGTCAACCGGCGTGGATGTGATGTCCTGTTGTGTCATTGGTCAGTCTCATGTCAGCTATTCTTGCTAGTTGTTTGGGGTGACTCTTGCCAGTTTGGGGCGGGTCTCATTTGCATTTTGGCTACTCGATCAGGTCGCGTGCTCTGATCATGGCGATGCTATATCATGATACTCCTAATCGGCTGCCTAAACTTGAAGCCAAGGTCCACGTGATAATATTTAGGGGGGGGGGGGAGGAAACCGCGTAGAAAGTTGCCGCACTTTCTCCGTAATCAGTTGGAGGGCCGCACTGTTAACTTTAGGCGACGCTGCGTGCCATGGTGGTGCGGCACCGTCAATTGAACATTAAGAGCAAAGGTCGCACTACTCCGCTGTTTTGTAGCAGTCGCTCGCAGCCGCTCGCACCCGCCCCGAGCAGCGGGACGGGTGCTCAATGACGGGCCGCGCCCTCCGCCGGGAGGCAGAGACGCGCCGCGGGCCACCGCTGCTCGGCCCGCCGCAGACGCCCCAGCCGCCCACGCCTAGCCGAGAACGGTGCCGTCGACGAGAAACGCTCAGCTCTGGGGATAATTGCTGGAGGATAGCGCCATGTGATGTTTCTGTTCTCCAAATTTGGTGTCCGATCTCAGCCGGCGTGGGTCAGTTGGTGGGAATGGCCGTTTTGCAAACCATCCGCGGCGGTGTGGGTGGGTCTGTCTCAGCACTTGTTATTTCCCCTTGCCTGAGTTGGATTGCGGCCGGGGGCGGGCAGGGTCAGGGGCAGATGAGGGTCAGGAGGCGGCCGGACCGTGGCGGACATTGCGGCGCGTTAAACTTTCGCCGCAAGAGTCTAAATGTTCCCGCCGAAATGAGAGTGTTCTGTCGGACTGTGAGGGTCAGAGTTCACACCACCACTACTGCTTGGCGTGGGAGTTGATCCCAGAAATTTCTCCAAAACAAGTTTGGGCCAAGTTTAACACACTTGTCCGCTGGCTTGGATTTACTTCGTTTTTGTGACTGTTTATATGCGCATAACTTTTTAATGAAAACATTGTTCTCAAAGGTCATTGGAACTACGAAGGTCATTTACAATGTAGAGAACATAGTCTTCAACAGGATGGATGCATTTGCACGACAGTCTATGTGCTTTCGGGTCTTAAATTTACGATCATTGTTCGGTAATATTTGGCACGGCCAACATCGTTCTAGTGTGGAAAACATCCCCTCACACAAAACCACGCTTACGGATTGCAATTGAACGGTATTAATGCACGGCAGTGCCAGTAAAGCTCGCGCGTAAAGGAACGAGAGCAGTAAAGGTGTGTGTTCGTGAGGGGCGGAGTTGGTTTTATGTTCTTATAATGGTAGGACTAAAAGGGTGTGGGGCTGGTAACCTGTGAGCTTTTTTAGAGCAGATTTGCACCTGACGCCTTTTGGAGTCAGCATCGGCGCCAGAATCAGCAAAGTTTACCGTAAGTCATGGAAAAATCAATTTCTTTGAAAATGTATGTGAGCGGGACTGGGTACTGAGTGCATTTGATTGCTTGAAATCCGTTACACATCGTGAGGAATCTAAGTTGGTGCAAATGGAATATGGATGTCAACATGTAGATGTTCGTGTTTTTTAGTCCATAGTCTACCTTTATGGTCCGATTTTAGTGCAAAAACCAGAATATGGGTGTACCAAGCTCTTATTTATCGAGTGTATGTCCCACATAAGCTGCCATGTGGTACAGGTCCATCTCGCCACCGGAGTCGGCTCCGTCGGAATCGATTCCTGACTAGGGTCACGCCTCCACCAAGTCTGACTCGGGGTCAGTTCAGAGCTGCGCCGTGCTGTCCGAGGTCATCGTCGGAAATCAACCCAATACGTCTTGAATCGTCGTTTGCTGAAGCGCAACCAAGCAAAGGTCGTGTCTGGAGGTCAGAGCACACCGCACGCCATCCCCTTACACTTCAGCAACGGCTTCTATCAGCCCGGTCCCAGCGCCCATGCCTTGTGGAACAGAGGCGTTTTCGGACGACCAGTCTCTTCCGCAACGGCACGCGAGTACCATGCCATGTCTGAAATATCTGCAATCTCTGCAGTCTGAACCGTTCTTCAAGTCAGCCTTTGGGGTCGTGCAGGCCGGTTGCACGCCACGTGCCACACCCATCAGCTTCCTTCTGCTGAGCTGTGCTAGTTACCCCGCCCAGTGAGGTCTCTGACAGTTCACATAGCTCCTATCTCAGCCCGCGGCGGCCCGCACTCTCGCGGCGCCTCCCTCACGCTTCCCAGCTGTGACCCGCTGGTATGGGCGTCGGAGGCGCCGCGGGCCCGGTACAGAGCCGTCTCTTCTCCTCGCCTGCGTGCGGGAGGTCGCAGCAGGGGCGTCTCCTCCGCGTGCCTGGGCTGGCGGAGACGTTTTTGCGCTGTCTCGCGTGACTGCATCTCCTTAATTCGTGCGGCCGCTGCTGTCTCCGTAGCCGCTCATTACCTGCGCGCCGGCGCCGCAATTATCCGGGAGGTGACGGCGGCGGCGGCTGAGGCGCGCGCGCGCGCTGCCAGCGGCGCGCCGGCCGCCGCAAAAATCTGCCGACGCCGACGCCGACCTTGCCGCGAGCTGCAGCCGACACCCCGGTCAACAGCCGGTCGCACGGAGTACACCTCGGTCAACAAAGCTGGCGGCCCGGCGGGACTGCTTGGCACCCCGGTCAACAGCCGGTCACACAGAGCTCACGGCCCGGCGGGGCTGCTCGGCACTCCGGCAACAGCCGGTCACACAGAGTTCGCGGCCCGGCGGGACTGCTTGGCACCCCGGTCAACAGCCGGTCACACAGAGCTCACGGCCCGGCGGGGCTGCTCGGCACTCCGGCAACAGCCGGTCACACAGAGTTCGCGGCCCGGCGGGACTGCTTGGCACCCCGGTCAACAGCCGGTCACACAGAGCTCACGGCCCGGCGGGGCTGCTCGGCACTCCGGCAACAGCCGGTCACACAGAGCTCGCGGCCCGGCGGGGCTGCTCGGCACTCCGGCAACAGCCGGTCACACAGAGCTCGCGGCCCGGCGGGGCTGCTCGGCACTCCGGCAACAGCCGGTCACACAGAGTTCGCGGCCCGGCGGGGCTGCTCGGCGTGCCGGACATGACTAATCGGGCGCCAGCGGTCGCTACGGGCCGCGTGCGGTTGGCGGAGAGCGACCGAGCACGGCGGAGGTGTCCGTTCGATCCGACCCAGCTGGTGACCGCCGTGACCGGGCCATTGGACCATCGCCATGCACCAGCAATAATCTGGCTTCCGACTGGCTGTGATCCATTCCCAACGCTGCAAGAGTGAAGTGTGGTTTTGAAACTGGAATATGTCACATGAATCATAATGAGCCATCGCTTTGGGTGATTGGTAAGCCTAGGAGTGAAATTTGCGGGCTTCACTAAAGGTACGGAAACGAATACCGAGCGGCGCGTCTTGCATGTCTGTTGGTTGTTGTAGCTGAGATGCTATTTTAACGAATGACTTTCCGGCAACTGGCCTACCAGTTAAGGTGACGACTGACTTAAGGACTAGAATTTCAAATTCCATAGTCCTGATCGTAGAACAGATCGATGAGTCCCATTCAACCTAACGCCAGTCTGCTGCAAAGCCTCGCTGTAGAAAATGCCTCAATCAAGAAGAGCCTAGTCTGCCTGCTCTCGCAGTCCGTGGACCGTGCCGGCAGCAGGCGGCGGCGCTCCGATGCCATGGCGACCCCGCCACCATGGCATCGGGGCCTGAGGCAGGTCACGTCTCGGGGACGGACGGGCGGCCGGCCACGTCGCCCGGGGTCGGCCGGCCACGTCGCCGGCACTGTGCCGTTCTCTTCGGCGGCCAGCGGAGGGACAGTGCGAGCTCTGTGTAACCGTAGCCGAGGTCCTTGCTGCTGGCGACACCCAGGAACGGTGTAGGCCGACCCGCTGCTGCTCGAGTCCCGGGGGCTCGTCATACCAGCAGCGATGACGTCACTCATGGCACGTACCGGCTGACTTGGGTAATGGGAAGGTAAGCACGTGGAGCTGAGTTTTGCCGCTCTGCTCTCAAAATAGGTGGATTACACGACAGATCGGTTAGCCCCCGACACCCTCACCTCCAAGAATTTGGTGAATCTACTTTGTCAGTGGTCTTTGACAGATTGCGTCGAACAATCTCAATGCGATCAAAACAACGTACATAAACCAAAGTCTGAATTGTGTTTGACACTGGTGTGCTGCACATCTTTCCTTGGTTTTTTCTGGCATGGAGAACATGTCAAAGTAGAGTGAATTTGTGTTTGGTAAAATTGAGCGCAATGAAAACGCCATCATTTTTTTATTTCGGTATGTTTTACTCCCTTACATGTCCCTTTTACGTCCGTGATGAAGGTGACTAGACGCACCTGAAACGCAGATATCTGGAATACTGTATTGGTTTTTTGATTATATGACAATTTTTGCGCTAGTTTTATGATGTATCTAATATTATATTTTGATAACTAATTTTATAATAGTTGGTAATTGTTCGCTCATTTTTTACATGTACAGTCAGTATTCTGCCATGTCAAACGCTGTTGTTCAGGATGTGGACCAGCGCAGGTAGCCACACATCTTGACCTGTCAAAATATCCAAGGTGATAGCTAGGTCACCTCTGCTCTAACGGCGCTGAAAACAGCACTTGTGTATTTAAATTAAATGCATCAGGTGTCCGTTAGAGATACATATGGCAAGCAGTTGAACTATGAGGATGTCAGCTGTCCGCTTTGCCTGCGTGGTTCACTGTGTGATCAAACCACGGCATGCTCGCGGCATAGCACATCAACAAAGGACAAAGTTCACAGAAGGCGCATCAGCTGCTTTGATAGGCTGAGTCTCGTCGCGATTGGTTTTCTGTATATAGCGGTTGCCAAGCAACAGACCACTTGTGCTTTTGGCATGTGGTGACCTATAACAAGTCGTATTAAGGATAAAAGGTCTTCTTCCCCACTTAACCCTTCTCGTTATTCATTAACTCCCTCCTCCCTCCCTCCCTCCCTCCCTCCCTTCCTCCCTTCCTTCTTTCCGTCCTTCCTTCCTTCCTTCCTCCGTCCCTCCCTCCCTCCCTCCCTCCCTCTTTATCTCTCCCTCTCTCTTTCTTTCCCTTTCCCTCTCTCTCTCCCTCTCTCCCTCTTTCCATTTTCCCTCTCTCTCTCTCTCTCTCTCTCGCTCTCTCTCTCTCTCTCTCTCTCTATCTCTCTCTCTCTATCTCTCTCTCTCTCTCTCTCTCTCTCTCTCTCTCTCTCTCTCTCTTCTCTCTCGCTCTCTCTCTCTCTCTCTCTCTCTCTCTCTCTCTCTCTCTCTCTCTCTCTCTCTCTCTCTGCTCTCTCTCTCTTCTCTCTCTCTCTCTCTCTCTCTCTCTCTCTCTCTCTCTCTCTCTCTCTCTCTCTCTCTCTCTCTCTCTCTCTTCTCTCTCTCTCGCTCTCTCTCTCTCTCTCTCTCTCTCTCGTCTCTCTCTCTCTCTCTGCTCTCTCTCTCTCTCCTCTCCTCTCTCGCTCTCTCTCTCTCTCTCTCTCTCTCTCTCTCTTCTCTCCTCTCTCTCCTCTCTTCTCTCTCTCTCGTCTCTCTCTTCTCTCTCTTCTCGCTCTTTTGCAGAAATGTCCCGAAGGTGTCAACGAACGCACGAGGAGGAAAGTGCTTTCAGTCCAGACTGCAGCCACCAGTTTGGACTCAACCAGTTTTCATTGTCGTAATGGCACTCTCCGTTTTCGCGAAGTAATTAAGCTGTCGCAAAGCTCCGCCAGCTGCCCGGAGCATCACGACACCGCCTCTCACATGCCGAACATTAGTATAAAGCGCAATCAATCTCTTACTGCGACGTTGGATATTCCAGAGAGAAAGCTACCTATATTCATACGCACGCGCGTGGGCATACAGGCACGTATGTACCTACACACGTTCCCAGACCCGCGCACACACACATACGAGAGTTTGAAACGTTGAGCATGGCTGTGACGTTTGCTGCAAATCGTCGCATCAAGCTGCCTGCAAAATCATCCGCTGTCGTTTTGGCTCGGCGCCAGGTCGGGGCCGTGTGCCTTCAGATGTGTGATCATATCAGTCGGATGCATTGCTCGACATGAACTTTCCACTGTGTCAACCTGAACTTTTCAAAGATGGGAGACTATGGAGAGAAGATGACGAAGAATACGTTTCGGGGATGCTACCAAGACCTTAATTAGAAAGTTGTTTTCGAAGTCCTGGATCCGCAGGCGATCGCTTTTCCTGGAAACCGGGACGGCCTTGCTTGGGGAACACTTAGCTCCACTTGGGGAACACTCAGCTCCACTTGGGGAACGGCCAGGTCTAAAGATGGGCTGATTTCCGATGCTCGTTCAAGCCATTGGGGTGCAGCGATGTTGGAACACCCAGTTCCACTTTGAGAACGGCCAGATCTAAAAATGGGCTGGCTTTCGACGCTTGTTCGTGGCAGCTGGGTGCAGCGGTGGATCGTAACACACAGGGTTTGCAAACATTGCCTCTAGTGTTTGTCCTAAATCTGGGGTTGCTCAATTGCATGAGTTAGGAAGGTGGCGCTACTGGAGCGTTTAGTAACATTCCTCAAAGGAATGTTGGGAGCTCAAAAGGAAAGGAACTCAGCCGCTAAAGACTACTTCTCTAAGCCTTATCTTGGAAGTTACCAAGGCCCTCCGATGTGATATTTGTGGTGCTTATGGTATTTTCCGCTGTGTTTACTCTTGCGGTTTGGTGTTTGTGGAGCATGTGCCGTTTAACTGCGTGTTTTTCGCTGCAACCTCATGTCCTGACTGCGTCCTTCCCCTGTGTTGGCTTAACGTCTCCTTTGCGGCGCGTTTGGTGTGTCTGGTGGCTGTGAGCGTGTTCTACTCGCACCAATAAGGTGCTTGACAGCGCGTCTTCCGCGTTGCAGTTGATGTTGGTGGACCGACCACGTGCGGTGTCTGACGGCGTGTCCTCTGCGTTGCAGTTGATGTTGGTGGACCGATCACGTGCGGTGTCTGACGGCGTGTCCTCTGCGTTGCAGTGTGGTGTTCGTGGAGCCGGGCCAGAGCGCAGCGTTCGCCGGACTCCGCTCCGGTGACTATGTGGTTCGGATGGGCGCCGAGAATGTCGTGCTGATGGACCAAGCGACCGGACTGGAGCTCATACAGTGAGTTTGGACCGTCGGCCACGCGCCGCGGGCGCCAGACAAGCTAGCGACGGCGTGGGGCTGTCCAGACGGGGGCGTTGGGTATATCCGCATGATTTTGCGAGCCTCGGAAAGCCTGTTGGCAATCACGTGTGTTGAATGAAGACTGCTGCGTTGCGATAAGATTGCGGTGGGTCGACCATCAGCTCGTTGGCCTTCTGCTGATGTCAGATTCTGGTGACGCCAGGTTACAAACACTCGTAACGCCGCTGTTCGTTCCCAGCCATGATATCGATTCGTGGCCAGCTCTGGTATGATTTATGATCGCATGGTGCAGCTGCATCTTTATTGCGTGCGTAGCGCCACCGGCGTGGCATAAGCTGCCGTTTTGGATAATGCAAGGAGGAAAGACAATAACGATCCGATCAACCCGAAGCGGCAATGCGAAAAGCTTCCGTATTTGACCTCAGGCTCACTGGGTCACCAACGGATCATGTGCAGGACTTAGGTGTAACATACCGAGGTACGCCATCTTAGAAATCATCAGTTCGGGAATGTCACCAAAGTGAGAAGGACGGAAGAATAGTATCAGGGTGGTTGGTATTAAGCTTGATTGTCCCAAGGCGTTGTCCCTCGATTGTCCCTAGGGATTGCTCAAACGCTAAGGAAGGCGTGAGGCCCTGCGGTGTAGAAAATCGGGCCCCTAAACCTCCTGGCTGTGTTGTTCAATTTTGGTTCGGGCTAACCGCTTCCGCAGCCACGAGTAGGAATTTAGGTGACCATTTATGTCCAGCAAGGAGCAGTTAACAGGCTTCGTTGCCGCGCTCATGGCTGCAAACGACTTGCCATTGCTCGAACGTCCATGGTCCGACTACGAGAAAGCGGCAGATGGAGCCTGCCGACGGATGTATATGGAATCGATACATCATCGGACGTCGGTGCAAGTGTTCGGTCGTCATGCTGATGTGTTCATTCATGTATCCATGATATTTGAAGGATTGCATTGCCTTCCATTGTTTATCCAGACACAGCATGAAGTAGTGGTCTAATCCTCATGTTCCCTGTCCAGCGCCAGGTTTCGTTCTCAACAAACGCTTGACAGATGCGGTCGTACTGAACTTGCACCAAATACTCTAAATGCATCTCACGAACCCATTGTGCACGAAATGGGATTAGCCATAGTTATGCAGACTAATTGACGAAACGTACACCGAAATATCAGGAAATTTAAGCAAATGGCTGCACCAGCTGGTCCTCGGCGACAGAAGCGCAGCCTCTACCAATCACGGCGTGGTCCCGATACCGCTGGCTCCAGCCCAGCAAGGAGCGCTGGGACTGCACGGGCCGGTGCGCGCGGCTCATCTTGGAGGTCGCACACGCAGGCCCGCCGTGTGTGATGGGCCGTGAAATGATCAGAAGCACATGTCACCGATCACGGCGCAGCTTGGCCTCCTGGCTTCCGCGCCTGAGGCGACCGCCCGTCGTGTCTGATGACGTCACTGACACTCGTGGTGGCTGGTGACGTCACTGACTCACGTGGTGGCTAGTGACGTCACTGGCGCTCGTGGTGGCTGGTGACGTCACTGGCCTTCGTGGTGGCAAGTGACGTCACTGGCGCTGGTGGTGGCTGGTGACGTCATGGTATTCGTGGTGGCTGGTGACGTCACATACGCCCGTGGTGGTTGGTGACGTCACTGGCGCTCGTCGTGGGATGCTAGGACTTTGACTTGCTCGACTTTATTGGACTCTGGGTTTGGTCATGCTGGACTAGACGAGTTTGTTATGAGCACCTCCTGGCTGTGATCTGTGATGATTCAGATAACGCAAGCGTTCGCGTGATGAAAGAAAGGGGGAACGCTTTTAATTACGTTCTTTGATCTCTCTCGGAGAGCAAATGGTGACGGACTTTCATTTCACAATGCGCAGTGTGTGTGACTGTCATCCCTGCTGTCAATTCACACGTAGATGAAAGATATCACAGATGAAAGAGGCTGTGCAAGTTTCTCAAACCTTTAGCAAGAAACGTTAATCGCCAACCTGAGTACGCTGGGAGAATGTTTAACAGCATGCGTAGACCAGTTTTCCGTGAAACGGCTGGCTATATGAAAGCAGCTAGCCCTGCAACCTGGATCTTCATATCTACTGTGACTGAAGTTGCTGACGAGGTGGCCACGGTCTTGCTCATACGGGTTCTTTCGTGCGTCGTCATTCAAGCAAGCCGACGGATAGAAATGACAAAAATAATGAAAACTTTACACGGCCGATCTTGGGAGCTTTCAAACTGCAGACTACGGCTAACGTGTTTTGATGCCGAATTTAAATCGATGTGACGAGCGTCAGAGGGAGTAGACGACAAACCAAATGGAAGTTTTCCGCGAACGGCTGCCTGTGGGCGCGACTCGCAGCGATCGGCGGTGCTTCTGTTCATTCTCATTAGCTCAAGTGGTGGTTAATAGTTCTGACATGAACTGCCAGCCATGCGAGCAATGGAAGTGTGACTGATGGCAGAGTTCGGTACGGGGGAAATCTCGTCTTAACTTTTCCGGAGTTTTACTTCCGGAGAAAACTGAATAAGCCGTAGAGGATTGGAACAGAGCAGGCAGACCGCAATTATGGTCGGCGGAAGAATTCGCTGTGAAAACGTTCGCTTAAGTGCCTGTCGGGCTCTGCTAGTAATGGGAACCTATCAAATGATGGTTGTGAAATTAGACGGATCCGAGATTGTAGAAATTTGATTTTGAAAGGAACCGACGTAAGTCTCAAGTTTCCTTTGAATCGCAGTTATGCTGCTGGCGGCAATTCGACAGATATATTTGCAGTGGAAAATAACGGCGCAGCTGATGGCTAAGTGCTCAGCACTTGAGGCTTCCTGCAAGCAGGAGTGGAGGGGTTTCAAAACAAGTAGTGGAGAATATCGGGCCCCCGAACTTGCGCCCTCCAGAATTCTGTTTGCAATTCACGCCGGCAGTTCTGACACCAGAGCTCACGCCAAGCAGTGTATGCTGCGCGAGCCTTACCCTAACCATCCGATCATAAAATTTCAGGTCAACGCAGACAGAATATGGTAGAGAAAGTTTTGACGTCCCGCAATGGTTGGCACGGCCGTCCTGCCCGATCATGTCACCCGGCCTTTAACGCGACCGCTGCTACCGACCGCAGGCTAACCCAGTCAAGGACCAATTGCGGAGGCAAAGCAGTTAGAACTCTCTGCCCCGTCACTGGCGGGCGGATTGGAGGGCAGGCACTCCAGCCAACTGATGTGGGGACGGTCAATTCTTTCATGTTGTAAAATAAAATGAGCTTGTCTTAAGCACTCGCTCGACCGGTCCTTCCGACCCAAGAAGAATAATTTATCGGATAATGTTGCAGAATGAATTCCAGAAATGTTTCAAAATAATTTCCAAACGGCGCGGCGTAGCCGTGCCCAACTTTGCATAGCGGTAGTCATATGCAAACCAGATTTTTTTGGTACAAAAAATTGCATGAGCGTTGTATATTCGCCGACCTGTTGTTGGTCATAGTCAGACCATGGCTGTCAGCAAAGGTAATGTCTGGGGAATCACTCAATCTGATGCAACAACGGAGTATTTGACGAATCGTCACATCTCTGAGATAGTTTCTTACGCAATAAAGCAGTTTTAAAACCATCCCGCTTTTAGTTGAGGTTTTGCTCTAAGGAGCAGTTTTGGTGCTCTTTTCAAATTTATTGATATCAGCGATCGCAACAGATGTCTTTTATGGAATTCCTGTAGGTCCGAGTAGGTCACTGACCTAAACTTAGCCAGGTCAACACTTTTTAGAAACATACCGCCTAGTGTAACCCTTGCCGCTTGTTCAAATGCAAAAATCAAAGCGATTTTGCAGGATTTTGGCCCTCATGACCAAAGAGAAAAGAAGGTCACTGACCTTAAATGAACATTGGTGACCTTTTTATTAGAATAGGTATCCAGGTTCAAGGTGCTCGCATGAGGAGATCTGGTGGCACGTTGGACATGATTCTTGAATTTGACCTTGATTGACTTTATTTATCACCCCAGAACCACAAGCTATGAATCCCAGATTTTGACGCAAGTGAGTTCACATACAGGGAAACTGACTCTGTGAATTTGGTGTCTAGCTTTCCTAGTTTTTGAGATCTTAGGAGGTCAAATTGACACTCGCCGGAGCAAAGAGCATTCAATTGGCGGTGTTACAAGGCTTCCAGAAAGTGCAAGCGTATACCTATGACTTCATTGGTGGTTCTAAGTAGTTAGCAGTGTTGTGAAGCGCCACAAAAAATATGAAAGCGTTATGGGTGAATGAAGTTATGCGTATGTGTGTGTGTGTGTGTCGTGTTTATACTTTGTGTAAAACACATGAAAACTTCAAAAAAGAAAACAAGTTGACAACATCGTGAGTCCCAATTTTTATTTCGGAATGTGAATCTGACTTCCTTGGAACATAACCGCACGTATGCGGGTAGCAATCAAAGCGGAAATCTCCCGTCAGTCGTCAATGCTTAACATTGCTGACATGTCATTTCGTTAGTCACGTGTGACAAAAACGTTTGCGTATGAAAAATAATGTTTTGCGTCAAATCTTCCTGTAAAATAAGACCTTACGCTTCCGTTCCATTGCTCTAAAGACGTACAGACACCACAGCCCTCAAACGGCGGCTTATTTCATCCCTTTTCCTACCACGGGTTACACCGAGTGACCCACTGACGCCCATCACCTGCCGTCCGTCAAAAGTTATCGTCTTACTGCGCTCATGTAGTACGTATATATGCAGGCATGATAAATCATGATATACAACGATATGGGTAGCCAATAGGTGTCATAACTAGAACGTCACTTATACTCATAAGCACCTTCCGTTGCGCCAGGATTTCGCCTGTGCGTTCCTGTTGGTGGGAGACATCACCTTGTCCTGTTGGTGGGAGACATCACCTTGTCCCACCGGTGTTGGGCGGCCGAGCGCGCGGTGCAGTGCCCTCCCGGCTAGGGTCCACCCCAACACCACGACGGCCGCCGGGTGAGGA